ATTGTAAGACCAATTGTAAAGCCTACACTTGTCACCATCCTATGTAAACTTCCAAGACTTAACATTGAGCCTACACTTGTCAACCATCTATGCCAACAAGTGCTCCAATCTTAGGCAAACAAGTGGGTGAATCTCCACCCTTCACGTGTCATGAGATTAAGCCCCCAAGTGGTTCCACCACAAAACCAACAAATGGTACCATAAGAATGTGACACTTGTCACATTTTTCAAAAATTGTAAAAAGGTCCATTTTGAAAATATCTTCCAAATTAAATTACGAAATAGTCTCTAAGACGAAAAATAATTACTTTATTTAATTACGCAAAACTCCTCAAGTTTAGAGTAATTACCAAAAGTTTTACATTCGTGCCCTTTACAAGAAAAGTAACCATTTAACATGCTTTTCTGTAAGAGTGAAAATGTAGATATCATGAAAATGAAAAATCATGGATGTATGCAAAGCCGGAATCAAATCCGATCACAAAACGTGAGGTTATGCAAGGAAAAATCAAAAACGACGAAAGGACGAAATAAGGAAAAGACAAAAAAAGAAATTTACCGAAAAAAGAAAGGAAGGGAAATGACCGGGTCATTACACACAGGCCCGAAGCATATCCTCCAAGATCTGGATGGTACGCTTCGACTGGCCGTCTGTCTGTGAATGGAATGCCGTACTGAAATGCAACGATGAGCCAAATGCTGCGTTAAGTCCTTCTTAGAACTTCGAAGTGAACTTGGCATCCCTATCCGAAAGAATAGACACTGGAACTCCATGCAACCTCACAATCTCTTTCACATACAGTATACCAAGTATCTCTACGTCATCTGTTACCTTAATAGGCAAGAAGTAAGCCGTCTTGGTCAATCTATCAATAATGACCCATACGACCTCATTTCCTCTCCGTGACCTTGGAAGACCTATCACAAAATCCATAGCAATGTGCTCCTATTTCCATTGCGCTACTGGCAATGGCTGCAACAAACCTGCTGGTCTTTGGTGTCGGCCTTCACCTGCTGACAGATAAGGCATCTAGCCATAAATTGTGCAACATCCTTCTTCATCCCACTCCACCAATACTGACGTCTCAAATTGTGACACATCTTGGTAATACCTGGATGAATTGCAAAGTGGGAAGTATGAAACTCCCGTAAAACGTCCTCCCGATAAACTGTGGGAACAACCAACAAACTTCTGAACCGTAGACCGCTATCTGCATGCAAGGTCCAATCCTTCAATGTTTCACTGCTAGAGATCAAAGTGTGAATGACATCCAAATCTGGATCATGTCTCTACGACTCAATCACTCATCTGACAAGAGTATGCTGAGCTACGAGACTAAACAAGAATGCTGACTCACTGCCATCATCATCGTCGAAACAATACAATCCCATCTTTGCCAATTCCTCAGGCATCTTCCATTTTTGAATGACCAAATTAGCCAGAGTTCTATGAGATTTCCGACTTAAGGCATCCACTATGACATTTGCTTAGCCCGGATGATACTGCAAATCAGAATTATAGTCTTCCAAGAACTCAACCCATCACCTTTGTCTGTTATTCAAGTCCTTTTGGGAGAAAAAGGTACTTGAGACTCTTGTGATCCGAGAACACCTCGAATCTCTCACCATATAAGTAGTGCCTCCAGCACTTCAAAGCAAACACGACTGCCACCAATTCCAGACCATGAGTAAGGTAGTTAAGCTCGTGAGTCTTCAACTGCCAAGACCCATAAGCCACTACTCTACCATCCTACATTAATATACAACCCAAACCATCACGTGAAGCATTACAATAGATCACATAACCCAAGCCACGCTCAGGTATCATCAACATTGGAGCCGTGGTCAACTTTGTCTTCAACTCCTGAAAGGAAGACTTACAGGTTTCATTTTATGTAAACTTGATCCCTTTCTGGGTCAATCTAGTCATAGGAGCTGCCAAACAGGAAAAATCCTTCACGAATCTACGATAATAACCCGCTAGGCCAAGGAAGCTCCGAATCTCAAAAACACTCTTGGGCTACTCCCAATTCAAAACTGCCTCTATCTTTGAAGGATCAACTAAAACTCCACCTTCCGAGACAACATGCCCCAACAATTTCACCTCCTGTAGCCAAAACTCACATTTCTCATATTTGGCGTACAAACAGTGCTCCCGTAAAATCTGTAACACTGTGTTCAAATGGATCTCGTGCTCCTCCTGAGTCCTCAAATACATCAGGATGTCATCCACTAAAACTACCACGAACTAATCCAAATAATCATGGAAGACACGTTTCATTAGATCATGAATACCGCTTGTGCATTAGTTAGAATATAACAACAATACAACATCAACAATTAAACATAAACAAGTCGTCTGACTACCAAGTGCAGAATATACCAATGGAATGCCATGCCATGCAATGTTACTCCCCCTTTTTACGAAACGATACAGTTTCCTCTTTCAAATAGTTAGTGCGGTCCGACCCATGGCGACTCCATGGCGTCACAAGACGAGAGTTGGCTAGCTATCCCAGACCACATGGCAACTCCAAGGCGTTACGGGTCTAGGTAGCTCAACCTCGCTAGGGTCTCTCCCTAAACTCTCTAAACCACACTAACGGCACGGACCACTAGGCGACTCTTAGGCGTCCGGGTTTTTGCAAACACCTTTCAAAACTACATCCCTAAAATAATTTCATTTGTTTTACAAAATAGTTTTCCCTTTTTTTCTTTCCTAGTGAATGTATAAATGCATTATGCTACACAATTCACTAACTAACAATAAATTCCCACATAAATCATAAGTTTTCAACCACATACTTATACATCGTGCTTTATAAAAGGACATCTTAAATACATGATACACACCATAACACAACTTAACAAATTTCATCATGGCAACTCAAGGAACATGTAATTAACCAAATTCTCATACAATACACATCATCACATAGAACCCTAGATGCCACATGATAATCAATCAAATTAAGCATTTCTTGGTACCAAATTAAAGGAGAAATTCACAAGAAATCAAAGAGTTTTGTGGATTAGAACACCCCTACCTCAAATTGAAGAAAAGCCCTATACATACCCAAAATTTTGAAATCCTTAGGTTGGTCAAATTGAGCTTTGCTCCGATCAAAATGTAGATCTTGACAAGCTTTCCAACTTTTCCTTATGCAGCAAAACCAAATTCTCAATGGCTTGGTCACAATCTTAATTTGAAGATGTGAAGAGATAAAGAAAAAAAAAAAAGAAATTTGAGGGAGAAAAAGAGTGTGGTAGTGAGGGAGAGAAAATAAGGCCATGTAATGGCCTCTTGGCCGTAAAAAAAGGAAGTGATGGTGGGTCCCACCACTAAAATATATTTCCTTTTCTTTAAAATTAATATATATGTATCCACTTTAATCTACAACCACATAATTCAACTTACCACCAAGAAATTATGGACAAAATAATAGTGCATGAAATGCAATGAACCCGTGACCCAATACCTATGCTCAACAACCCCGATAGCGGGTCCCACCTTGGACCTTCCGGTTCGAAAAACAGAAAAATACCAAAATAGTAACCAAGGCATTTCCAGGAGTCATGAACTCAGGGAAATGCTCCAACCAACACTCTGACACATCCGACACGCCCCATGGTGTTCGGCACACAAAACGAGAAAAGACGAAAATATCCTCGAAAAATAAAAAAATTCTAGAAAATGGAAAAATAGCGAAAAATTGGAAACCTTACAAATGCTAACATGAAAGCTGATTGAATTGAAAAGACCATAAAAGAAGTTTCATCATCTAATATGAAAACATTCCATGACGAATGTCAGGTTGAAGTACATTCGCCGGACAAGACAAAAGGTGATTTTAAGTTATACTGTAGTATTTTGAATCAGTTGGAGGGCGTTGATATGAAATAATATGCTAAGGTCACCTAGATGTTATGTACTGATGAAATTTGGAGGGATTTCTTTCTGAATGACCTTCTTGATAATAAGAGGGTTGGTTGGATCATGAATATTTGATTTGGTGTGTTACTTTTATTATGACTTTGGATGACTGTACTGTTAAATATACTTTATTTGGTGTGTTGCTTTTATTTTTTATTTGGTTTTGTTATGACTTTGGTGTGTTGCTTGGAATGATTGTAATGACAATATTAGTATTTGGCTTGGGATGATTGTAATTTATGTCGTTTCTTACATTTTGTATTATATAGATGGTTATTTGGAAAATCATTGAGTTGTATGATGATATCGACGGCGAGAATGAATCTGTCATCATAATGGCATGTATGTTGGATTACTATATGAAACATTACCATAAACAGTCTTGTAGGGATTTAATTTTAAGAGGGGAAACATATATATTGGAGATCTTGAACGGGCATGGAAGGAGATGTTTTGAAAACTTTAGGATGTCCACCCTTTTTTTTTTAAAGTTGTGTGGGGAGCTCAGGTCATTAGGATTGAAAGACTCTAAAGCTGTAAGTGTTTTTTAACAAGTTGACATATTTTTGCTTACTTTAGCTCACAATGAAAGGAATCTTGTGGTCGTAGAAAGATTTCAACACTCTACCTATACAATTTCAAAACATTTCCATTCGGTTTTACAAAAAGTAGGTGATTTAGGGAAAAAGATTATTGTCCCCTAGATTTAACCTGAATTACTAACCATATAAGAAAGTCAAAAAAGTTCTACCATTTTTTAGGAATTACGTAAGGGCAATTGATGGAAGTTATATCCATGCAAACGTGCTTGTGGACCAGCAAATACCATTTCGTGGTAAGAAGGGAGATACTATAGAAAATGTAATGGCTGTTTGTTCATTTGATATGATGTTCACGTACGTTGTAACAGAATAAGAGGAGTCTGCTAATGATTCTAAGATATTGAACGAGAGCATTAATAATGAGGATATGCAATTCCCATAGCCTCTAGACGGTAAATGTCCTACTACCTACAATTTTTTAATTTATTTTAAATATAATGGTATAATTGTTTATAGTTTGTAAAATGGCAGGAAAATATTATTTGGTGGACTCCGGGTATGCCAATCAACCGGGTTTCTTGGCTCCTTGTAGGGGTCAACGATACTACTTCCAAGAGTACCATAGGGCTTTTAGGCAACCCCGAGGTAGAGAGAAAATATATAATCACAGGCACTCGTCTTTGCGAAATATCATTGAGCGTTGGTTTGGAATGCTTAAGATGAGATTCCCCATTTTGAAGCAAATGCCCCTATATAAGTTTGAAACTCAGATTGCAATTGTTTTAGCTTGTTGCACACTTCACAACTTTATAAGAATGGAGGCGCAAGTAGATGCAATATTTGATGATGAAACTGTGGAGGCGCTGATAGATGAAATATTTGAAGATGAGAATGATGATGTTCAGGTTAATGTGCCACAGTCTCGGTCGCGATCAACGGATATTTTACGCGATCATATTGTGAATACTATATGGAATATAATTCAGCACCCTTGAAATTGCATTTAGATGTTTATCATGTTTGGATAACTGTAATAACTACTTGATTTTAACTCTTTTTTAGGATTTGGATAACTATAATAACTATTTTATTTTAACTTTTTTACTATTCGGATAAATGTAATAACTTGTGCCAAATATATTTTAACTCTTTTTTAGGATTTGAATAATTGTAATAACTAATTTATTTTAACTCTCTTTTACGATTTGGATAAATGTAATAACTTGTGTGAAGTATACATTACACATTTTACCACTTTTATATGCAGTCATTTATGAGATACAGGGTGATGGGCCACCTTGTGCATGTGGAAGGGGTCGAATGAATCTTTATACGGCTGGAACTTCAAAGAATTATGGATGTTCATTCTATAGATGTCCAGCTTGGGGGGTATACAATCCTTTGCATTAATAATTTTTTTTATACGTATATGTTATTGTCACATGGGCATTATAATAATATACAAGTCTTTGATGTTTTAGTCATATGCTCGTTCATTTATATGGTTAGATGACATGCACCAACGTCTGCAAGTGGGTGGTCATGTGGAGCAATAGTTGGAGGATATAGTTGTTGTTATGCAAGCTCAATAAAATAGGCAAAACTATATTATCTATGGTGGCTGTTATTGTCTTACTATAACTATATTATTTATGTTATTGCTCATTTTGTTGTTGTTGGTTATTGTGGCTGTTGATAAATGATGTAATATATTACTTCAATTTTAGTTCGATACTTTTATTGTGCTTGTTGACAAGTATTGACAAGTGATGTAATATTTATAAAACTCATGTCTATAATATTTTCAAACTCATGTAATGTGTAATATGTTGAAAGTTTATTTTAGTTTAATATTGAAACAATGTCTTCTACAATTGTCAAAACAATATCCAGCATTCATAGGTTTTACAATTTATAATATATTTTACTAGTTTTTATAGATTAATTAAAAAATATTGTAAACTAAAACTTAATAAACTAAAATAAACTAAAAAAAAAAAAAATTAAAAGTTATATCAATTGTACAATAAAATTTTACTTTATATTTAATAATGTTATAAATAATGTATTGATGAAAACATTATTTAAAAACACTCTTTACCAAACATATTTCATGTTTTTATTTCAGTGATTTTGGTTACACTTTTACTCTGCCAAACATGTTTTGTTCTCATATTTCTTTAAACGAAATACCTTGCCAAACATGTTATACCATGTTTCTGTTCCAAAATTCTCACTGCAAATTTTCGTCGCCAAATATGTTTTGTTCTCATCTCAGAACACTCAATTACAAAACACTTATTTTGTTCTATACTAAAACAAAATGCCCGGGAACACCAATAGGTTTGTGGCTTAGTAGTACAAGGCTCTTACTTCCCAAAGGGAGGTCAAGGGTTCGAATCTCAGTGGAGGCAGTGTGTGTAAGTCCTAACTAGGAAAAAAATGCCCGGGAACACAACACATACTAAACGGGCCCTTAGTCTCCAAGATCATCAATGGAGGTCATACAGGGGGTTCCTAAAGGCAAGACTACCATGGACAAGGTGGTGACCTAAGTAAGAAAAAGGAGCTAAAGTGGTCTTCATAAGGGAGAACAATTCCTTTGTGGATGAATCTAAGACTTTCTCAAGTCTTGATGTGAGTATTCTAACTCTATGTATGTTGAACATCATCGTCTTCTTGCTTGAAAATGGCCTATACACCTGAATCAAGGTCCATGAATGTAAAGCCCTCTTTTTGATTTTGAAAAATCTCCATTTCCCTAACTATCAGTTGTCAAAATTGTGCAACTCACATCAAGGGAAGTTGCTGACATCAAGCAAGGTCGGGGTTCTTTCCAATGGTAGTTCCAGAGCATAGCTAAAGACCTGCAATATGTTTTGCATTATTAAATCGAGTCTTCATAGGCTACAAATTTAAGAGAAACATTGTTTTTCACATGTCAACACTATGAAAAGGCTAGAGAATGCATGTGACATTTGGCATAAATCCATAATTGTCTTCATGATTCCTTGTATCTTACTCGCTATAAATTGTGCAAGTGGTCAATAACTACCAAATCATGCAACTCTTATTAAGGGAAGTTGTTGAAATCAAGCAAGGTCGTGGTTCTTTCCAATGGTAGTTCCAGAACGTGGCTAAAGACCTATAATATATTTTGCACTATTAAATCCACTATTTAGAGGCTGCAAATTTAAGGGAAACATTGTTTTTCACATGTCAATACTATGAAAAGGCCAGAGAATGCATGGGACATTTGGCATAAATCCGGACGATTCATTTGGAAGCATCTCAGCTGCTGCATGTTGGAATTGCCTACAGTAATTTCCATCAGAGAACTCTATAAATAGAGCATTTTGTTGTAACTTAAAAACCCTGTTCAACACACGACTCAAACAACATTTGATTGTCCTTTAATTCAAGTCATATACTTTAATTATCCTTTTCCATTACAACAATGTACTTTCATATGTTAATTTAAGTCCTGCACATGCAATACCTTACTTCAGCAATTGTCCTTTGGTTCCCTTACTTTTAGTTTTGCACTTCAATTCTATCCACTTTCGAGGCACAAGAAAACTCTAAGGCCTTTATCAAAGGCAAAAAACAACCTCGAGGGTGGTCTTTCTAATTCGGAACTTCTTAAGTTCCTGGCATGCTTGATAGTTCCATTGGAATTGAGATGCCACACACTTTCGAATAGAGAGAGACATACTCTTTTTCAGGACCTAAATTTCTAGCGGCAAGTATACATGGTAAGGTTTTATCAAAAATTAAGTGAGAGCAGTCTTGGGATTTTACTACAGATATGTAATGGAAAAAATAAAATTCAGTACCCCCTCTGGGCCTAAAGTAAATCCGGTGCCCTGGGTTGGACGGGCTGAGTGGCTGACTCGAGCTCAAGCCAAAGTATAAAACATTCAATCCAAGGATTTAGCATAAACCCTACCTAACTTTTAAACCAAGCTCCCCAATTCAAGTCCAAACCCAACGTGACTTTCAACCCCAGTTTCCCAATCTGAAATTAACTTACATTCAAATTTTGAAATCAGATAAGAACAATTAGACTAAAAATTGAATGTAAATATACAAAAATTGTAAATATATAAATGAAAATGTAAAGGAAATGGAAATTGAAAAGAAAAGTGAAGTGAATGAAAAGAAAATTGATTTTATAGTATTATTTGGTTATGATAAAAAATTATTCAGGAAAATTGTAAGAAAATATCATGTTATAGTTTAGATACCTAAATTGTCCTTAATTTATAAAAATGGTAAAATAATAAAAAATTAATTAGTAGTATATATATATATAAAATGATGGAGCTTTCAATTAATTTAGACCTTGTAAACAACTATTTATTTCATTCATTTATGTTAGAAAGCAACTAAAAATGAAAGTCAAGTTAAAGTTGTTGTTGGACTGCAATTCTTTAAAACCGAGTAAAAAAACAAATAAAAAGATGTTGATTTCACTTGAAAATAAAACTTTCCCGTATTTTATGTAGGAAACATTTTGAGGAAAATAGAGAGATACGAGAATCTTAATTTTTCAGAACTTTTGCTTTTCTATCTAACCAAACTCCTAAAAAGTTTCAAAATTTTCTATTTCTTTTTTTTTCTCGTTGATTCTATCAAACCAAAGGAAGCCCAAAAGAATAATATATCGTAAATTAAGAATTAATTGGAAAAAAAAAAAAAAAAAAAAAAAAAAAGCTGATCACAATTATAAATATACAAATAGTGAGGATAAAAATGAACATAACCCAAATAAGTCATCATTGTGAACAATTACGGAAAACTAGCGCCGTCTGTGGGAATCGATCCCACGTTAAATATATAAAAAGTGAGGATAAAAATAAACAAAACCCAAATAAGTATCCCACGTTAAATATACAAAAAGTGAGGGTAAAAATGAACATAACCCAAATAAGTCATCATTATGAACAATTACGATAAAGTAGTTTCAAAATTTTCTATTTCTTTTCTTTTCTCGTTAATTCTATCAAACCAAACGAAGCCCAAAAGAGTAATATACCCTAAATTAAGAATTAATTGGAAAAAAAAGAAAGTTGATCACAATTATAAATATACAAAAAGTGAGGATAAAAATGAACATAACCCAAATAAGTAATCATTATGAACAATTACAAAAAAAAAAAAAAAAAAAAAAAAGTTGATCACAATTATAAATATACAAAAAGTGAGGATAAAAATGAGCATAACCCAAATAAGTAATCATTATGAATGATTACAAAAAACTGGCGCCGTCTGTGGGAATCGAACCCACGACCACGTGGTTAAAAGCCACGCGCTCTACCAGCTGAGCTAAGACGGCACATTGAGATTGCATTACTCCTAAGTGAAAATTACGCATACAAAACGAACTATTTCACATAATATGAATTTTAAACAGAGATCAGATGGCATTTTGAAGTGCCTTTTAACTGCAGTTGAGACTTTGTATTCTATATCTTTTCGTGCATTTCAAATTTTCTATTTTGAAGGGGCTTTGTGCCCGTGGTGCATTTGATCCAGTATTTGCTTAGTAAATATTTTTTATGCTCGTAATATTGCCTTTAACAAGTTTGAACATTCAACCTTTCACATGAAGAGGACCATGAAGATTAGAGTTCATGCCATCTAGAGTAATGCTGATATGAAAAGAAATTGGAGGACTAATTCCCATTGATTAGTACATCTTTCCGTGTAGGAAGACATTGGTTTACATTTCCTTCATTTTTCTTTTATTCTGTCCCTCGCTTCGACCATGCTCCAAGTTATGGAGGGATGAAATTTTAGATAACAGTCTTATTCCCACACAAAAAAATAATAATAATAAAATAAAATAAAATAAAAATGATTTGTTTATTTTTAATTTTTTAAAAAATACACGCACCCATTTGTCCTAATGGATCGATTTGTGTTAGGTGCAAATAATTTCTTAGAGAAATATGTGAATACCAATTAAAAAAGAAAAGAAAAGAAAAGAGAT